TTTATTTTTGTGGTCCAATAGAAACATTTTTGAACATGTTTGATTTGGGGCCAATATCAAGTCTAGTAGCCATATCATAGTTACATGCACACATACACATACACACAGACACAGACACATACACACATATGCACACACATACACACACAGACACAGCTTTTGCTACAAGGAAACAAATGTCTTCAAACCTAATAAACACTTTTGATCATCTCTGCTATTTGCTGGATTCAAACACATTGAGTTCCTCCCAAAATAAATTTTTTTTTTAAATCCTCTTAGAAAGAATCTGGGGAAATTAAAAACATACCAAAATTGTTATTGGATCTCAAACTGAGATCGTCAGACCATTTGATTGAGAAATCATCAAAGGTATTTGTTAAAGTGCAGTTGTCTGGGTGCAATCTCAAACCTATTAATTCAGAACTGTGCAGAATGGCTCCAAGCAATCTGTGACTTTAAAAAGGCTTCCAGATGATTTTTATGCCCTTTCAACTTTAAGAACTGTTTGTTTATGAAATGTAGTACTTTAGCAAGGATTGCTGTCTATGTTAGAGAAGAAAAGTTATCATTTTAGTGCTTAAAGATAAGCCCCCAACATTTTGAAGTTCAAACTAGCGATCATCTTTTAAATGTATCTTGAATCTATCACACCAGTGTTAAATGCTCAGAACTGTAAATTTTCCATTTAGACTGTCCAAGCATTTAAAAAGAATTGGTAAACTAATGATAGGTATTAAAAGGCTGCTTGATGGATCATTAAAATAGTAAATGCATCACTGAAGTTTATAGAGACCAGAAGAAATTTAAAAATAGACTATACCTAGTAAGATGTTCGAATGTGGCTACTCAGGATTGGTGTGGGGAACCTAAGGCTCTTTTGAATCTGAAAGAAAGGATCATTGTCCAAACTCTTTATTCCTGTTCACTGAGTGGTCCTCACTATTTTTGATCTCTGAGTGAAAGGAATGCTGATTTATAAGTCAGAAGGCCTAGGTTCTATAGTTTAGGGTCTGTTTTGGAGGGCTTCAATTTGCTCATCAATAAAACAATGGCTTAGACTATTAGCCGATCTCTAAAGTATTGTCTAGACATAAATTTCTATGATCATTCTGAGCTTCAGTTTTCTCTGCTATGAATACAGGGTTGTACTAGGTGCAGTGTGTCCATTCGTCCTGTGTGTCTGAGGGCGGCCCTGCCATCTCTATTACAGTACTCAGATCTCCATTCATAATTCAGGCACACCCTCTTTAACACTGTAAGATCAATGATGCTTCATTTAGGCTTTCCCGAGGAAGGGACAGTATATTAGCCATTCACACATGTCTTTTATAAGAGATAATTATTTATTCAAACATGCTTACAGACCAAACAACTGTGTGCCATTCATCAGTGTGCTAGGCCCTGGGAATACAGTCATGAAAAAAGTCAGAAGAAAGAGTTCTGGCCAATGCAGTCTCCATTCTGATGGGAAGGTAGGGAGTGATGGAGAAGATAAAAACAACAATCATATTTAACAAATATAAATAAAAGACTTCAGTTTGTAAATGGCTTTATGAGAGATACTGAAGGCTGAGATGGAGAAGAACAGAAGGGTGTTCAGAAGAAATCTCTTGGAGGAAGTGCAATTTACTCAGACCTACAGGAAGAAAAGAAGAAAAATGGGAAGGAAGGGGGGTGGAGAAAGGGGAAGGGAGAGCATATTCTGGGATCCTGTGGGAGAAACAGCTTATGTGTTTGGCATCCAAATTCCTGGAACAGTCTCTGCTATCTCTGAGAGATAATTTAATCCAAAACTAGTGAAAGGAAACCAGAGGCCCAGAGGGTTTAAAGGACTTCTCCGAGGTCAAATGGCTAATGAATAGAAGAACTCTTCCACACTGCAGTCCAGAATGTGAACTCTTCTTAGCGATTGCAAGGCAGCAGGAAGCAGGAGACTGTGTTGGTTCAAATCCTGGCTTTTCTATTCATAAACTGCTCATCCTTGGGCATGAGAGCTTCTCTGAGCCTCAGTTTTCTTTTCTGTGAAACACAGACAATGTCTACCTCACCGGATTATTACAAGAATTTAATGAGATACTGTGGCACAGTGCCTAGTATATCACAGCTGCTTCAGAAATGCAAGCTCTTGTATTTTTCACCTAGTGCACTTTCCCCTGTACCAACTTGTTGTCAAGTCAAGACAAAGTAGAGCAGAGGGTAAGTTACTTGGATAAAGGAGGAGTGGCGGCAGAGGGAAGGTTGTAGAATACTGGAATGGAGTCTATTTAGCAACTGCCCATCCAAATCCTAGTGGAGGAAATGGAAAGGCCACTAAAGTGGACAAGTGTCAAAAAAAAAAAAGCATCCCAAATTTTGCTCACAGCTTAATCTACTAGTGGTAAATATAGAGTTGTCTACGTAAAACAAACAAAAAAAGATCGCCCCTATCAGTATTTACACTTACATGTAGCCTATAAGAAATGAGTTTTACTCTAGGATCTCACTAAACAGAAGAATGACACACTTTGTTATTCAACACTTGCTAAGAGAAATATGTTAATATGCCGCTAAATCAACTGGGAGCAAACCAATCATCTGCAGGATATTAAAATGATAGCTGGTGTTAAGAATGCTTCAAAACCAAACCCATGATATTGGAAGAATCAATAATTAATCTAAGTACTATACTGCCTTTCTCCATTGTCTATGAACAAAACCACAGGTTGAATTCAACCTTAAAATACCAAGAGGCATATTTCATGGATTAAACTGGAGAGCTATCAGTCACAAAACCTCCATGCCCTCCCTGTTAGGGAATGTTTATGGTTCAGACACATGAACCAGGGCTGAATATTTCTTTGATTCAGAAGTTCACTGGGTCCCTCTTCATGCAACCATAAGGTAAATGCCACTTCCTATACAGCTTTTTGAAATGCAGCCTACTTTATGACTTTTTTGCTGTTGCTGCTTTATGGGAGAAATTTTATTTCAAAGTTTCACAGAATGTGAATTGAATTCATTATTCTGCTGTAAACTCATTGTTTAATTGACAGGAAACATGCATCTAAATCATCTTCTATGCATGGCAGAAGCAGCTACATAAATTTAACAATGGGTGGATTATTACTACTTAGCATATTTATAGAATTTTAGATTCAGGAAGCATTTTACAAATCTTTTATTAGTTAATCCTTACACTTCCGAGTGCATCTGACAGGTGGTAAACAATGCTTTGAGGTTTAAATTGCCAATACATGAAAACTTCAATGGGGAAAAAGAAATCCACAGCTTTCCTCCTTGCTCCCAAATGTGCCTAGGGCACATTTTTGATGCCTTTTTCTTCTCACCAGAGACCATGACTAGAGGCCCAGAGTTGCAGACACCTGAAACACTAATAATAAAAAAAATATATATTTTGGGTTTTGTCCCAGGTCAGGTGGCCAAAACCAGGGGAAACCTTCTCATCAACAGCAAGATGATGTGACGGGATTCTCAGCACAGATACCTCCCAGTAATACAGCGCATAAAAAGGTACATTAAAAAGCAGTCAATTTCCCTAAAACTATAAGGTAAACTTAGTTTCCAATTCAGATTCTAACAATGTCACACCTGCTGGACTCACTATTTGAGTGACATCACCAGTGATTACTTCTCTTAAAATACATGCATGTATATTGAAAAATAAAACCCAATTTAAACTAAGAGAATGTATATCTTCATTTTTTTTTAATTCCCAAGTTTTCAAAACCAAGCTCCCTTGAATACCAATTCAAACTTTGTATGAGTGCTCCAAAATACCCCATCTCCAGACAGCAGAAGGTGTTGCATAGCAGGGCAAAGAAAGCCCCAATAAATCCAAGACTAATTCTTCAACCAAACCTTTTTACAGCCCGGGGCCTTCACAGCTAACACCAAGAAAAATCAATCCCGCATCACCTTTGGGCCGGGTATGAGGAGCTGCAGATGCTGCGCCTCCTTTCAGAAGACCCCAGTGTGGCACGTCCAGCCCACATTCTTGTTTCTTCTGACTGACAGTGACTTTATCCCTCTAATCCCTCCGGCCACCTGCCTCCGCCAGTGTGTGTGCGCGCGCGTGTGCTGGGGGACGCTTAGGTAGGAGGGTGCTGAAGACACCCAAAGTATTCTGGAAGCAAGCACCCTTGGGCCCTGTGCTTTGTCAGAGCAGCTGGACTAGCTGTCAGGAGGTCAGGGAAAGGTAACCAGGTCACTCTCCTTTCAGGGGTGCAAAGGAGATGCTCCAACCTCTCGCGTCCCCTGAGTCTGAGGATGTGGGGGCTGCGGGTGGGCAGAGAGACCCCCCCCCCACCATAATCCCGCCCACCCTGGCGCGGCTCCTCCCGGGCGCGCTCCCGCCCCGTCCCGCCCCACGCGACGCCCGCGCTACCTGGGGACGCTGGAGGCTCGGCGGCGGCTTTGGGTCCCGCCGGGCGGCAGAGGCTGGCGCGGGCTTTGTAAAGTCGCGGGGACAGCGCCGACCCCGCCCCGCCCCGCCGACCCCGCCCTCTCCCACCTCGGCCGCCTCCCCCGCTGGCATCCTGGGCCGCCGTCCCCGCTCGGCCACCTCGCTCCCCGCCCTGCTGCCGCCGCCCTGCGGGGCGGGGACTGCGGGTCCCTCCCCATCCTTGCGGCCAGCCGGACAGTCCTGCAGGCGGGGCCCCAACGCCTAGGCGGGTCCCGGGAGCCCTGGACGGCCTCCCTCCGCCCCCTGGGCTGTCACCCGCTGGCGCGTGGCGCCCGTGCTGGGACTCCGGTCTTGGGACCTGGCCCCTGTGTCCCCAGTGCCTACGGCCTGGCCCTTCTATTCACAGGGCCGGAGGGGTCTCCCTTCCTGGGGGCCTGCCCAGGACTCACCTCTGGGATTCGCGGGGACGCCAGCGGGGTCATCTTCAGCAAATGGACGCCAAGTCCGGGGAAAGTTTCTGGCGGTGTCAAGGGTCAGCCTTTTCTTATAGCGACGTTCTCTAGCCAAGTGATGGAAACTCAGATTCCATCAGCGGGTTCTGCTGACATCACAAACCACACATGGCTTGGTGTCCTGTCATGTCGTTTACACAAAGACTCTCCATCCTTACTGCAGCCTTCTTCTGCACGTTCGCCTTTGGAGGCCCCAGGCTAGTGACATTTCAGCGAAAGGGTGTAAGAAACTTAATTTTTAAATAAACAATTAATATTAGAAACCTGCACATTTATATGTTTGCTGTGCACCAAGTTCTAAGTGTGGTCACCTTTGAATAGTTCAAGACCTTCCAATGGTCAAGATGATCCAGGTCAGTCACTATCTGGCACTTCCTCATCTCCAGAACTTTTGGTCTCTTTACTCTTCTTTTTCATTTTCCCTTTGATGTGAAGGAGAGGTGAAAATAAGATGCAACAAGATCAGTTTGAAGAACTTTTAACAGCTGGTGTAAAACTTTATGGGAGAGGCACTCTGGAAAATAAGATGAGAAAATTATCTGTACACCTTACTGCAGTTTTACCATTTTTTTGCTTGAGCTTGCATAATGAAGGGCTAGAGGTAGCTATTATTTTTAGCAGAAATAATGCTTTTCTAAGAATTAAGTAGATTTAAAAGTATGATATAGCTAGGATGTCAGATCAGGGTAAAACTCTATTGACAGAAGAATGAACCAAACGAGCTGATAGTATAAGAGATCCAGCAACTCTTTGGAGTAGTAAAATTGGTTTTGTCTTTGGACAGTACAAATGGGTATTTTGAATTTTGGGAGGCAAAGGATGGTGTATCACATGAGGCCAGGAGTTCAAGATCAGCCTGGCCATCTTGGGGAAACCCCATCTCTACTAAAAATATGGAAATTAGCTTGGCATGGTCATATGCCAGTGGCTGTAGTCCCAGCTATTCGGGAGGCACCTTGAACCCGGGAGGGATATTTGTATTATTTAGGACCTTTATTGTCCTAGTTGCCATTTAATAATTATTTCTTTTTCAATATCTCTATTTCCTTCAACTGTTTCTGTTTCTAATAAGATATAATTTCAAGATTGCTCAAAGCTTTGGACATCTATTAATTCTTCGTTTTATTTTTTTTTCTTTAATGTTTTAGTGACAAGGTCTCACTCGGTGGCGCAGGCTGGACTGCAGTAGCACCATCATAGTTCATTATACCCTTGAACTTCCACCCTCAAGCCATCTGCCTTGGCCTCCCAAAGTGCTGGAATTACATGTATGAGTCACCACATCTGATCCCATTCATTCCCTTTTTTTTCTTTCTTTCTTTCTTTTTTTTTTTTTTTTTTTTGATGGAGTCTCACTCTGTTGTCCAGGCTGGAGTGCAGTGAGGTGATCTCCACTCACTGCAACCTCCACTTCCCATGTTCAAGCAATTCTCCTGTCTCAGCCTCCCAAGTAGCTGGGATTACAGGTGCACACTGCCATGTCCAGTTAATATTTTGTATTTTTCAGTAGAGACGGGGTTTTACCATGTTGCCCAGGCTGGTCTCGAACTCCTGACCTCAGGTGACCCACCCGCCTCTGCCTCCCAGGGTGCTGGGATTACAGGTGTGAGTCACCTCTCCTGGAAGGTCTGGTTCATTCTTTAAAGGATTTAATGAAGGCTGAGCAAGTAGCTGGCATTGAGCTTCATGCAGGTAATATAAAAGGGAACAGATAGATAAATACAAGTCTTGCCTTTTAGGAGTTCATATTCTAGTGAGAGAAGAGAAACATGCTAAATAGACAAATGCAAAGATGACTAATTGCACTTTTGAAAAGTTGGATGTGGAGGTATGGAGTGGTAGGAGAGCACATCTTCTAAGTGGTTTTAATTTTAGATTTCTCTTTTGATTTGAACCCTAGAATTATTTCTTTTCTTTCTTTCTTTTTTTTTTTTTTCCTTATACAGGGTCTCACTGTGTCGCCCAGGCTGGACTGCAACTTCCACCTCCTGGGTTCAAAGTGCCTCTCGAATAGCTGGGACTACAGCCACTGGCACATGACCATGCCAAGCTAATTTCCATATTTTTAGTAGAGATAGGGTTCCCCCAAGATGGCCAGACTGATGTCAGACTCCTGGCCTGATCCGCCAGCCTTGGCCTCCCAGAGTGCTGGGATTACAGGCGTGAGCTACCACACCCAGCCCCTAGAATTATTCCAAGCCAGCAAAGGTTTTTGATGTTGTAATTCTTTCTTTCATATCCCATATCTAATCCATTAGGAAATCCTGATACCTCCATCTTCCAAAGGTATTTCATATCCCAAGTCCACTCTCTTCCAAACTAGCATTGTTCACTTGGATTTGCAAAAAGCCTCCAAACTTGTCTTTCTGCTCTTAGTCTTGCCCCTATGGTCTGTTATTCAGATAGCATTTAAAGTGACACTTTTTGAAAGTTTATAAAATAATTCATGTCAATCCTCTGCTCAAAACAAAAACAAAAACAAAAAACCCTCAATGGCTTTCTACTGCTCTCAGAATACAATACAACATGGCCCTGTCTGTCAATGCCTTTCCTGCTTGCCACCTCAACTCTCTCACCGCCTTCTCTACCACTGTCCTCTCCCACATCTTGTCACAGACTCTCTGGCTTTCTTTTGCTCTTTAGACCTCATTCTCCTTCCTGTCTCTTGACCTTTGAGCTAGAACTCTTCCTGTAAATATTAGAGTCTTGCTCCTCAGTTACATCAGATGTCTACTCTCACGTCTGCCATTGGAGAGGCAGTCCCTCAGCACCCATTCTTCAAATAGCCCCCTTTCTCAATGCTCTCATTCTTTGTCTCCTTAATTTACTTTTGTTTTCCTTTTGATACACGTGTTAACCTGCGTGTATGCATTGTCTGCTGTTCTCCCTCTACAGTGAGAACAACAACTTGGTTACTGTGCCAGGAACATAGAAAGCATTCAATAAATATTTGTTGAAAGCAAGCATATAAATTATATTATATAATGAAGGTTTGCATACCCACAATATTCATGTGTTGAAACCCTAATCCCGGAATATGATTGTATTTAGAGATAGGGCCTTTGAGGAAGCAACTGGGCCCTGATCTGATAGTATTAGTGTCCTTATCAGAAGAGAGATGTCAGGAGCACTTACTCCCTCTCTTCATATGCATACACAGAAGAAAGGCGGTGTGAGCCCATACTGGGAAGGTGGCCATCTGCAAGCCAGAAAGGGAGCCCGAACTGAATCAGCTGGCACCTTGATCTTGGACTTTCCAGCCTCCAGAACTGTGAGAAACAAATTTATCTTATGTAAGCCACTCAGTGTAGATATTTTGTTGTGGCAGCCCAAGCAGAGTAAGACAAATTAGACAGAATATAGCACAAAAGAAACAAGGAGTTTAGATAGAATTTACACTCACAGTGTCACGAGTCATTTCAGGATCACTTGTGCAATTGAAGGTGTAATGGTGTGACCTTTAACCAGTAAATAACCCTTTGCGGCACCTCTTAGAATAATTGAGGCTTCAAGAATACTCTTAACCTGAGAGTACAATAAATGCTCAAGATGAATGAATCCCTTTTACAGCTTTTCTGTTATTTTCTCTAAAGTCCTGAATGGTTGAGGCTCAGAGGAGAAAGAATTATCTAGTTACTACAGGTAAAAAATGCTTTATGAAAGTTTCCTACTGATCACAATGAAGGAGTCACATGTAGCTGGGTGCCTAGAACATGGCCATGACCTGTTGCTATTCAAGCAAAATATCAAATGTTTCCAATAACAGCTTCAGCGACCTACCACAACTGTTTATACTCTTGGTCTCCAAAGTAGGCCATGAGAAATAAATATTAGAGCTTCCACGTATATTTTTTATTAAAAAAGAAACAGCCTCTGCAAATAAACAGATTGAAATTGCTACCCTCATTTGCCCACAGGTCAGCTGGTCTCTTTCTCTCCCTTTCAGAGGTGTCCTGAGGAAATATCAGGAGATTCACAGCATAGAGGGGCTAACATGTGGTCTTTACACTTCTTTCATTTCCACTGTGTTGCCTCTTATTGATGCTTATGTGTGTTCACTTAAGGAACTGAAGATTCTATTATCCAATTTTAACCAAGGAAAAGTATCAGAATGGAAAAGTGGCTCACAAGGATTTCTGCAGAGAAGACAGTACTGGTAATACAAGTTTAAGCAACACAGGAAATCAGTGTAGCTGACACGTTTCCTACTGTATTCTTAGCCTAATGGGAGAGGTTAGCAACACTGATGATCTTTCTAATTCAGACTTAAAAGAAATCAGCTCCTCCCTTCCATTGAGATATATGTTTACATTTACTTTTATTAATGATGAACCTTGCCTTGAATATATATATTGTATTTTTTTTGTTAAAAACATTTATTCTGATACATTCTATCATAAGTTAGTACAAATTCCACTCTGCTACAAATTCATCTGTGATGATCCTTGTGCCATCCAACTGGCATTTGAACGATGTTTCATCTCTTGAGATGTAGGCCAATGATAATTTGAAACATGTGGCAAGATATTAATAAATATGATATGTTTCATCATTAAATGATGTTTCAATGTTACATGTGTGTATGTTTTATAGTGTACAATGGTGGGTATAATAAATAAGCAATCCTATTAACAAGTTAACAAATGAATAAATATTGAGATATATAATGAATATTTCTAACTGATGCAGTGCATTTTCAGAAAAGTTTGGAAACCACTGATTTACATATACAGAGGTAAAATAATTTTTTAGAACATAAAACCCTAGTCTTGAAGGAGAACAAATAAATCCAACTTTGTGTGTGTGTGTGTGTGTGTGTGTGACAATCTCACTTTGTTGACCAGGCTAGAGTGCGGTGGTGTGACAGCTCACTGCAACCTCTGCCTCCCAGGTTCAAGAGAGTCTCATGCCTCAGCCTCCTGAGCAGCTGGGACAACAGGCACAGCTAATTTTTGCATTTTTAGTAGAGACAGAGTTTCATCATGTTAGCCAGGCTGGTCTTGAACTCCTGGCCTCAAGTGATCTGCCTACCTTAGCCTCCCAAAGTGCTGGGATTACAGATGTAAGCCACCATGCCCAGCCCAAATTCAACTTCTTAATTACAGAATGTCTACTAAGGGTATGGACTATTCAGCAACTTTCTATATTTTTCTTCTCTCCTATGCCTTTTAATCATTTCTCAATTTCAAGAAAAATGAGAAGAGAAGAAAGTTTATTAATTTACCATGATATTTGGAGAGAAGATTTAATTTACCAAATAAAACAAGTTTGAGATCTACTTAGGGGATTTCAATTTTGAATTCCTACAGGTGATAATAATATGACTTGAGATAATAGTATGCCTTGAGATTCACCCATCTGCTTTAAATTTATTGATTTTTCTCTTACAGTGGAATGTACCCGTAGGACTTGGGATGTGAAGTAATATTCAAACGTGGTCAAATTCTTCCACATATAAGAAAGGTTTGTCCTACTTTTTAAAACTATAAAAAAAACTCCCTTCCTCCCACTCTAAAATTTTACATGTTCATTGACAGCATGAATTGATGCATTTTTATATTCAGCCAGATATACTGTGCAACAATTGATACAATATTTTAATTTAGACTGTCTGGTTCTAGTTTCTTAGCTAGGTATCATCACATCTTAAAATTTTGAGGTTGGAGGGATCCTTGGCTACAATTCATTGTGTGAATAGAAGGTACTAAGTTCTGAGATGCCTAAGGGCCTGCTCGTAGTGAAACCACTACATCCTGGCAGAACTGAGACTAGACACCAAGCCTCTGACTTCTCATTCTGTGTGTTTTCTACCGCAAGATGCTGCCGCAGAGTGAACTTGATGAGAATCTTGTTATTCTTCTCAAGTATGAGTTAGAGAAGAGTAGGATGCCTTCGGCTATGCCTCACTGTGCTCATACATATGTGTGTCAGGCAGCCCAGGGCTTTCCAGTTCCCCAAATACCCTAACCCCAAATGGTGCCCATGAAGGAAAAGGGATCTCCTAGCTATTTATTTTATAAATAATAAAAAATAAGAGGAGGCCTTATGGATGATTTTTTTTTTCTCCTTGGGGTCCTAGAAATTAACTTACTGCTAAGACACTGCCAGCTACTATTTTCTCAATTAGAACTTTGACTTTTATAAAAAACATGATTTTGGTAAGATGGTCCTAGTGAAAAAAATAGTAATAAAATTATCAGTAAGACATAGGCAGGTGGCATACTTTAAACTAGTTGGTAGGGATTATTGGTTACTGCTTAACAATAATACCTAATTATTTGGTAGAAAATTTTTAAGGAGAGTGAACCGCAATCTAATTTACTGAGGTACTTAAAATAGGACTAAATAAAATAGTGAAGAGTGTATTGTAAAGATAATCTAGTTGCCAAGATGGCCTTTCCATAGTTACAGCTTTTATTGTTCTCAAAATGTGTGTGTTCTTTACTCTTTTATGAAAAAATAAAGATTTTCTTTTTCCCAGGGACATGAAGTTACCCTGCAGTTTAGTTGTTAAAATACACTGAATATTTTTTCTTTGTTACTTCTAGAACACTTGTATTTATTCTGGAAGTCACCTTAGTTCCTTTGTTTTCCCTCTACATTTGCATTTCTGGCTCCAGAATCCAGATTTTAAGCTTGTTAGTTATTTCTCATGATATTCCGCATAAGCTAGTTAATATGAGATTTTTATGCCCTAGATTAAAGAAAAAGTTGTTAAGATTTGATTGTCTTATCTTTTTAACTTTGATACTGTTTTTTCTCTCAACCTTGGAAGCTGCAATAGGGTGGGATATATCTGAAAGGAATTTGGAAATTTATTTGTAGTTGTTACAAAGGTGACTTGTAAATTCTATAACCAAATTCCCATGGATTGTGCAAAAGATTCATTTCATTTTCCTATTAACAAAGTCTCAGGGTTTTAAAAAAATACGTATTTTTACAGCACTATGCCTTCTGGGTTTTATTACAAAAGAAAACATTGAATAGTAAAATGACATCTCTGTAAAGTCTGTCCAGATGGATTTTGTACATGTGGGCACCATCTTTTTTCCTTCCATAAAAGAAGATAAGTCTTCCATTATAAGGATTCTGTCTATTTTGCTTTCTTAAAATGCAGTGCCTAATAAATTATTTCATGGTTGTAATGTATTCATTTTCCACCTATAACAAGCTTTGTGAGTAGAAACTGTAGACCCTGGAATTTATTGCAGGGGTTACCTGGAATTCTGGAACCATTATGTTAGAGTACCAATATGAGAACAAGTATTTGACCTTGAGAGGATATCCAAGCCTGAAGGGATGACACCTATAGATATTAATATCATTAAATATTAGTAAATTAAAATCTGATCCTTCATCTACCATATATTCCGTTATTTCCTGGGATAGTTGTGATTGCTGAGGGTACAAAGAATCTATTTGTTTTTAGGCTTTTTGTGCTTTTGTCTTTTTACCTTATGCTTTTATATGTTTCTTGCCCCTTCTCCATTATTAAGAAGGATGCATTACCTATTTTAAAAAATTATATTATAATTATGCCACTTCCCTCCTTAAAATGACGCTCCCATTGCACCTATAATTAAGCTCTCTTAGCATAGGTGTCAAGGCCCTGTAGGACCAGCTCTAACTCTATCTACCTCTCTTATCACTAAGTTCGGTGATACTAGATGACTCTTTAATTCTTGAAAATAGCTTGCTCACTTTTGACCTTGCATCTGTAAACTTGTATTTCCCTCTGTCTGGAATGTTCAGAGCCCAAAATATCAAATGACTGGTTCCATCTCAAAGTTCCTTTCCTCCCCACCCATCTAATGTGGCCACGTACCCCTCCAGCCTTTCAATATCACTTTAACCTATTTTTAAATGCCAATTTTGAAAATGGTATTATTTATTTATTTACATGTTATGACATAATCTCCATTAAAATGCAATTGCCATGAAATTAGAGACCCTATCTATATGTTCACATCTGTATAATCATTATTTAGCACAGAACCTAGAATGTAGAAGGTGCTTGCTAAATATATATTTTTAATGAGAATATGGCTGCAGGGTTGACATAAGTAGTAATTAAAAGTATGGAATTAAGATCTGTAATCAAATCCTGATCTTCAAATCCTTGAATTTTTCTCAAGTTCCTTCATTGTTTCAATCACTAATTAAATGGCAAACATACTCATCAATTAGGCCTATGGTGGATATTATTTTGAGGTGATATATATTAAGTATTCAGCACATGCCTAGCATATAGCAATTGCTCACTAAATAGTAGCTATAATAGTGCTTCTTCAAAACAGGAGCAGAACAGGATGGGCTGCAGGACATGTACATTAAGAATCCTGAGGCATGGGCCGGGCGCAGTGGCTCACGCCTAAAATCCCAGCACTTTGGGAGGCCGAGGTGGGTGGATCACAAGGTCAAGAGATCGAGACCATCCTGGTCAACAAGGTGAAACCCCGTCTCTACTAAAAATACAAAAATTAGCTGGGCATGATGGTGCGTGCCTATAGTTCCAGCTACTCGGGAGGCTGAGGCAGGAGAATTGCATGAACCCAGAAGGCGAAGGTTGCAGTGAGCCGAGATCATGCCATTGCACTCCAGTCTGGGTAACAACAGCGAAACTCCATCTCAAAAAAAAAAAAGAATCCTGAGGCATGTCAGAGCCAGAGAGCAAATTCTTTTTGTTCAAGTTCAAAAGTGCAAACATCCAAAGTTCAGAATTTGGGTAGAGTAGGTGAGAGCAAGAAGCAAGGATGAAGCAAAGGGAGAACGCTGAAGACATTGTTTGCTAGTGGGATTAAAGTGCCCTGAGTCAATTTTTATTGGCAGGATTGCACATGAGTAGCTCTATTTGGCTTAAACTCCAGAAGCAAGGCTAGAAACTGTTTCTTTATAGGTAAAACTTACATTACTTTGTTTGTTAATTTTTGAAACTATTTTGAATATTATATCTATCTTGTTCTAAATAACGAAGAAGAGCCTAATTTGATTATTCTGTGATGTAAACTATCCTCTTTTATTTGCATATGATTATTCTCAATTTTATACAGAAAGTTAGTGACTAGATAAACCTTATTTGATCACTTGATGGTAGTTAGTTCTAAGTTATATAGACAGTGCTTAGGGCTATAGTGAAATAATGGGCAAAAAAAGTCTTTTGGAAAACAGTTTGATACTTGATGGCTTAAAAAATAAAAAATAGAAACAGGGAACAACAGTGTAGTTATAAGAAAAAACATCTAAACTTGTTTAGAATTCCTTACATGTATTTATGACTTTGTCAAGGCCAAACAAAATATCTCCAGGGCTTGGGTCTCCAAAGGCTCTACTCCAATCCTCTCTAGACGCATTTTTACAAAACAGGTCTGAAGATTTTAGATCTCAAATCTCAGGTCCCAGTTGTAAATTTTTAGTCTCCAACCCAAGTAACTCTTCCTCAAAATGAAAACAAACAAAACCAAACACCCACACAAGCAAGTGTTTTCTGGAAAGGGGCATGTGCTGCGGGGAGGGATGCTTAAATTTTCTGTTTTTAATTTTTTAAAGGACTCTGCAAAGTAAATTTGAGGAATGAAAAAAATCTAAAAAAATTATATTCTAATTTCTGATGTCATTTTCCATTCAACATTCTCTTTATACGCATTTCTTTAATAGCCTAGTAATAATAAGCCGAGTATCTGAGCAATTACCAGTTGTTTGGGGCCTACATGTTTTTGAAGTTAGTTGCAGTCAGGATAGATTAGGTTATTATGAGGTAACAGACAACTCCAATCTCTCAATGCCTTTGCACAGTAAAAGTTAATTTCCTCCTCAGGCAGACTCAGGGGATTTGAGTGATTCTTCAGTTGTTTTCCACAGGGTGACTTAGCAATTGAAGGGGTCTTTTGATTCTGTTGCTCTGTAATCTCAAAATCTCAATTTAAGACTTCAGTGGTTGTTATAATAAAGAAAGGAGACTATATGGGCCTTTTCACTTTTTCAGCCCTGCTAACATTTCACTGGGCAGAACTAGGCCCTGTGCTCCTGCTTAACTGCAAGTCCACTGGGAAGTGAGGTTTTCCATGTGCTGTGGAA